ATAGGTATCTTTTAAACTCACAATTTTCAATGCTTCATTTTTAATATATAATTAATTATAAAATTTCATTATTAGATAATATATGAAAATACATAATTCTAATATAATGCAACAAATATACCGAATAAAAAAATTAAAATACATTTATCGTTGTACGCTGTGTGTATTTCCATAAATTAGTTTATTGATGTTGAAAAAATAATACTACGTTCTTACCTACAATAGGGCAATATATTGAAACGAGCGGCGCGCCGCCGGCAAAATGCTCAAGGTCGTTCGCATGGAGTAGCCCCTTAAGAAATAGTCTCGTACACTTACATAGCTGTCATGTTGCCTATTCGTTTATTCGAATTTCCATCTTAGCTTTATATTTATATATTTTTATTAATTTTCTCAGTGTTAAATTTAAAAAAAAAAAGTATAAATTATATTAATACTTATATATATTATGTAAGTTATTTATATGTATCTATACTTAATATAATAAAGCGGAAGAGTTTTTTTGTTTTTTTGTTTGTTTAAACGCGCTAATCTCTGGAACTACCAGTCCGATTTGAAAAATTATTTTTGTATATTATTGCCACATTCATGTGGAATAGTATAGGCTCTCTAACATTAAGCTATATCACTCAGCTAGCCTAAAATATGGATATTTGTTAAGCAAGTCAGAAGAAAACGCACTCTCGAAATGATTTATCCGCGTACGCTGGTGTTATCGTTAGGGATACGTAAATTAAATGTTCTAGAAAAATATAGATCTTTACTCCGTCTAAAAAAAAGTCCGCGATATCATGTGTCTATTTCTTATACATAAGCCATAATTAGGTGTTTTATGACAAAAAATATTGAAAATTAATAAAGTGATTTATGAGCGTTATTATTAGGCATGGCCTATTTATCCTTACGAAGGAAAGTTACTTCATCATCAAGACAATTTTATGAAGATAAGCCTTGTTCTTTATACCATGCTATTTGGACTCATAGTTTAAGAGATAATATAAAATTAAAATAATTCAATACTTGGCTGGGCGCGCGAACGGCACATAAACCTTAGCCGCCCGGTGAGAACTGCGAGAACTGCTCAACCGGGAGGGGGAGGGAAAGTGGATAAAACTTAACTTCGCTCTACATCATACATAATATGCCGACAGATAAAAGTGCTCCATTAATTATGCCAAATTTTCCATCCATTGCTATCAAATAAAATATTTAATTGCAATTATAAAATGCTTGAACTAGGTCATGTCGCGTACCTCCAACATGTGATGACGCGGATGAAACCGCGGGGCACAGCTAGTTACTTATATAAATATATTACAAAAGCGTTACAAAAAACAGTGTGTATCGTGAAGACACACGACAGAAGTGAAACTTTTGTATTACAGAGAAACATTTCAATTATTCATCAATGACTTTTGAATAACATAGATGGTGTGTATCATTTATTTATTTACATAAAATTATATACAGATGTGTCACAGTGCATCATCTTCTTCGATCTTAAGAAGAGACATATCTGTTTTGTTTGTTAATTAGGTAATTACTATTTATTATATACGTATTTTTTTAATAGCACCATCTGTTTGCTTTTTTCTAGAAGTAGTCATTTTATCAAATCAAAATTGGTTAACTCTCATGGTGGTACGTAGAAAAGACGCTAGATGGCACTAACACAAAAAAATTATTAAGATGGTTGTCTAATCCATTCCTAAGAATCCATAATTTCAAAACTCACCCATCAATATTATTTTTTGGGTTTATGCCATTTAGCATCTATTATACGTACCACTATTGAGAGTCAATCAATTTTTATTCGATAAAATGACTTTTACTATAGAATGTTACTACATTCTATTGATGATGGCGCTATTACTCAAATGGGATCACTCTTTCTCAAAATTATTTATAAATTAACTAATAGCAATAGAGGTGGAGCAAATTCGGATTCTGCTGGAGCATTTAAGGAGCAAATAATTGGCATACAGTTTAATTTTAAAACGTAGATATTTTATGTTTTATAGCAAAATTGAATTGTCGATACTTAATTTTTTTTTAAATTAATTATAAATTAACTAATTACAATAGAGGTGGAGCAATTTCCGATTCTGCTGGAACATTTAAGGAGCAATTAATTGGCATACAGTTTAATTTAAGAAAGTAGATATTTTATACTTTATAGCAAAATTAAATTTTTGATACTTAATTTTTTTTAAAATTAATTATAAAATAACTAATAACAATAGAGGTGGAGCAATTTCGGATTCTGCTGGAGCATTTAAGGAGCAAATAATTGGCATACAGTTTAATTTTAAAACGTAGATATTTTATGTTTTATAGCAAAATTGAATTGTCGATACTTAATTTTTTTTTAAATTAATTATAAATTAACTAATTACAATAGAGGTGGAGCAATTTCGGATTCTGCTGGAGCATTTAAGGAGCAATTATTTGGCATACAGTTTAATTTAAAAAAGTAGATATTTTATACTTTATAGCAAAATTAAATTTTTGATACTTAATTTTTTTTTAAATAATTATAAAATAACTAATAACAATAGAGGTGGGGCAATTTCGGATTCTGCTGGAGCATTTATGGAGCAATTAATTGCCACACAGTTTAGTTAAAAAAAAGAATGTTCTACGCTAACTTCCATCTGGTTAAGATTTCACACTCACTGCCAGTTTTTGGATTTACATCAGTTAAACTGATCAGTTTATCTGATGACCCTGATGGACGAAGTTAGGTCCGTACTATGTGGCGTTCCTTGGCTGATGTTGTAGATGAACGTAGGTAGAGCTGTACTAACGATGGTGTTCATGATGAAAAATATAAGGCTTGATTTGGGCCTACGATACTTTTTCAGTTCTTATTTAAAAAAAAAAGATAATTTTATATAGCTGCACCATATGCTGGCGACACAAGAAAATCTAGTACCCTATCTCTTCTTGTGGGTGTTGTAAAATGCTACTATAGGAAAGTGCAGACAGACTTCATAGTCTCTGATGTATATGTCATTGCGTATATTTGAAATTCGAATTCTGGGTATTACCAATGACGGGAAATAGTGTTAAAAGTGCGAAATACCTTGTAAATTTTAGGTTATATTGCAATATAATATAATAGTAAGGCGAATGCCATTAATTACAATATAGCCTTCTCACACTAAAAGTGGTCAATGTTCATTTGTAAATTACTGTTACCGGCTCAAAAAAAAGATAAAAAAGAAAAGGAAGACGAGAAAATTTTGCAAAAATATTTATAATTAAATACTTAAACGTGTATATTATAATACGATTTTGTTAGTGTAATCATTTTCAGAGAGTAAATAAAAAAAACAGCTAAGAAAATCAAATGAAATTTAATATTATATTTTATTGCACACAATATTAAAAACTATAAAAAAAGCTAAAACTAGTAACTTAATTATATAATAACTTTATTAATTGATATACATATCAGTGAGCGTGTTACTTTTTATATAATCTAGTGTTAATGTTTAATATGCATACTGTAAGTGTGCTTATGAAAATAAATAAATAAATAAATTATCAAATAGTCCTACTCGCCACGAATTCGTGCCAAGTACGCTTGCTGAGTTTTCGTGCTGAATGGCTATACTTAGCCTTTGAGCGAAAAAAGAACCAGCCCTCTTATCACCAGCAGCAACGGCCAGCCGCGGATGGAGTTCCTTTAGGAACTTCACCGCACGTAGACCCCACGGACCGATAGTCTCTACAGCAAATGGCACAAATATGTAGTCATCTCTCAGAGACTCATATTTGCGCCACTAATACTCAGTTCAGCTGCCTCTGATACCGCCCCGGCTATAAACAAATTACCCCTGAGATGAGAGGCCGCCAGAGTGTTTACGCAAGTAGCATCTCAGACTAGGGCTTTACCTCTCTCCCAAGGGACCAATGTCAAACCGTCGGGTCTCTTACCAATAGCTAATAGCTCTTCTTCTTCTTCTCTCTATCTTGTGAATAGCTAAGTCTCTTATTCCACAAGTCTCTAAACCCGAGGGAACATTTATGGAGACAAGAGCCCTTCGGATGACATCAGCACACCTACCAGCAATTTTCTTAGATGAATATATTAAATAATTATTAGTTCTTCCTCGCGAAGGTATAGTATTATTATTATTTAATTAAATAAGGAAATTAATATGACAATACCGTCGGCGGTCAGGTTCAGCAAAAACAATATCGCCACATATTAAAAAAAACGCTCGCCTACATTATTGCGAGATTTTAAAAATTTGATGAATTTAAAGCAAATTGTAGTAAAAATATATAATTTAAATAACAATGACGTTCATTTTATTCGTTAATGATGTGTTTCTTTTTTGCAAACATTATTGCGGTATCTATTTGCCTTTTTTGGATCGGTCGGTGTGTTTTTACATTTTGTACTAATATTAAAATACTCAATGTAAAAAAAAGCGGTAAATAGTTATTAATTGAAAAATGATACATAACATAAGTGAAGTAATAATCAGACTATGATAAGGCTAACGTATACTTTTGAGACAAATTGCCCTAAAATTAAATGACAAATGACCTGTGATGACTTTAGAGAGAAAATGTCATGGTCATGGATTCATTGTAATATTATCTGTTCTTTAACGGTGTAGTGTAAGATTATTCACTACCCCATATCACTCGGTTGGTGTCGTTAGAGGCAACAGAGGGAACTTGAAATAGAAGATGGGCAGCAGCATAGTAACACCTTAATATTAATACAAAACTGCGGTCACCAACCCGCTTGTCAAGGGTGGAAACTACGGCAAATATCCTCTCTAGGAGGCCTAGGTTCAGTAGCGAACTTTTAGTAAGCTGTATTGATAATAGTATCAGTTCTCATAACATTTGGAAATTTTCAGAATATACAAATGTCTGGAAGTAGGTGAAATATAAATGTTTCATAAAATAAAATAAACAGTTAAAATTCAATTACATTCATAGTGCATATAGGTCAAGCTTAGAGAGTTAGTACTTACGCAAATGTTTTTATCAGTGAATCTGCGCCGCAACCTTTGTTGTTTTTAATACAATCTATAAGAAACTGCTCAGATAGCGTATAGTTTTTCATTAAATGAATCCGAATTTGACTTTCTATATTAGCTGCAACGAAAGTTAGATTTTATTAGAGGCAGTGGGATTTTAAAATGTATTATTTTAAGCAACATTTTTAAGATTAACTAATAAGCAAATACCTATAGCACTGAAAGCCCAACAAGCACCACATTGATATTGATTCTTTACAGGTGACACTTTTCCGTATTGCCGCCAATCAAAATATTCGGGCACTGTCCTATCGCGAACAGTTTTGGGATCATGTTTGGAAAAAATATTTCCACTTAAAAATGCCTCGTTTGAAGGATGTTCATTAGTTAGTACTTGATTTGAAAAATACACGAAAATACAGATGATCGATTTAATGTAACTATACATTACAATTTTTCTTCAACGCTAATCAGCAATTGTTTGCACTATTTATACTTAAAAATCCGCAATAAACATAAATTATTTCAATAATGTTGCACTGTTAATACAAACATTTTAAAATTGCGTAATTTGCAGTTAATTATTTTCAATACTAAGCACTCGACTTGATAATTGTAAAAGTTTTACATATTCTACTGATTGATAGACATTTTATTACAGTGGCGTATCATAGTTTGCTCCTGCTCAGGCCCGTTAGAACGTGAAATGCTGTCCCTCACCTCTCCTTTCTCATTTTAACAAGTATCTTAAAAATATGAAATTGGTAAAAGTCTGTTATACTCTATCTAAATTAGCAAATATATACATATATTATCTGAAAATAAAACGATAAATAAAATTAAACGCGATAATATCCGTAAAAGTAGTTTTATTCAATGTGTAGTATTCCCGTAAATTTAAGAAATCATTACAAAATGATACTTATTTTTCACCTATTCTTGCAATTCAAATATCAAACTATCTCATTTTTCAAAACTTTTCACACTAATGTAGCTATTTTTTGATATTTTGATTTTTAGTGAAAAAGTTAAAGGTAGTCGAATTTTCTTTCTTTAAATGCAGTCATATAAAATCTGCCGCCTGGAGTGTAGTGTTGCCCAAATGCAAGAACAAGACGAGACTTAGCCAGTCTTGGTCTTGGTCTTGCGCCAATACACCTAGTGTTGTTCTTGGTCTTGGTATTGCGCTCTCAGTCTTGTTCTTGGTCTTGGTCTTGCAGCAAGAGTCTCGCAAATCTCGCAAGCCTATTGCTATTTATTAAACGTTACTTTAGATCTTAGAACAACTTAACACAGTAGGCACATTTTGAGCTTGAATTAACATAGCCATAGAAAGACCAACCAAATTAATAAATGTCTAAACATTTAATGAGAAATTCGAAAAATCAACTAATACCGGGTGGGGTTTGAACCCACGACCTAAGCGATCCGTGCCGATGCTCTAACCAACTGAGCTGTCTACGATGTCTCACGGCCACGGGAGTTAATCGGTTTCTTAATAAACGTTTACATTTAATAAGCTTACATGTGCTAAAACTTAGTCAAAACATATAAAAAACAAATTAATGACATTAACTTGACTGTATTATAAAGAACATTATCTGTCTAGAAAGAGATTGATATACTCTTATATGGAATGGAATAAAAGAGTTATACAATTTACCATTTATTTAAATAAAAAAATAAAATACAATACAAATTAAATTACACAACTACTTACTAAGAGGTAATACGAAAACATAATTCAAAGATGGCGTGTTTAAAACATGTGAATCAAGATTACAATAATTTTAAGAATCAAATATTTAACTTACTGATAGCCTAAACTCTCATGCAACGTTGTATTTTAATACATTTTCAAATTGTTGTTGTCCACCACGGCTACGTGGCGCAGTCGCTTAGCAATTGAGCTAAGGACCGCGGGTTCGAATCCCGCACGGAACAATATTTGTATGGCCTACAAATAATTGTTCCGGTTCTGGATGTGTCGTGAAGCGACAATTAAAAAAAAATAGAACCTAACCTAAGTACAACAAAACAACAAAAGTAGAGCCAGAAAACAATATATTTAAATTTTTAAAAGGTATTTACAATTTTATAAAAAAAAAATGAAATGAGGATGATGATGAATGAAGTGAGAGTACAATTAGATTACAAAAAAAATAAAGGTAGGAGAATAGGGGAATATAGAGTTGTAGTGGAGCCTAAAAGTCGAAGCGACACACGTTGCGATTGTAGAGGTAGGTTTCTTAGCAGCAACGGCACGCAGCGCCTGAAGCCAGCACACGCCGGTTGCGCTTGTAGAGGTAGGTTTCTTAGCAGCGACGGCGCGCAGCGCCTGGAGCCAGCACACGCAGCGTCTGGAGCCGGCGCACGTAGCGCCTGGAGAAGGGGCGCTCAACGCTTAGAGCCAGCAGTTGCAGCGCCGCATGTAAAATGATATGTAAGTAGCATAACACTTCAGATGTTTGTCCTTTGTCGTTTTCAAGCAGCTCGAGACAAAATGCTTAAACATTATAAAAAGAGCAACTGGATTTATTGTACCTCTTTAATTTTAGACCCAAGGCATAAAACTCAGACTTTTAACATGACATTATGGGGGAAGCAAATTAAAACAGAAAGCCTGCGCAAATTGAATGAACATTAAAAAGAATATAAAAGTCTACACTCAGTGAATACATCTCTAGAATCACCAAGAAATGAAAAAAAAGTATGTGAATATGATGAAGATGAAGACGTAATAGACTTTGAGAAACTGTATGCATGTCCCTCGACGTCATCTGGATCTGGATCTTTCATCAAGGCTTAGTTATAGACGAGTTGGAGGAGTACCTAAGGAAACCCAGAGCCGTCAGTTCGGAAGACATTTTAGAGTGGTGGAGGACGCATGAGACAGAATATCCGACTTTATCGAAGATGGCCCGTGATTTTCTTTCAATACCTGCAACTTCAGTACCTGCTGAGAGATTATTTTCCAAAGCATCATTAGTAATTAGAAAACATAGAAATAGGTTACGTGATGAGTCAGCCAGATGGTTACTTTGTATTAATTCTTGGTCAAAAGAATTAATATAAAGTAACAGTAATGTCAAAGCTGTTGTGTACTATTATGTAATTTAATTTGTATTTTATTTTACTTTTTTATTTAAATAAATGGTAAATTGTATAACTCTTTTATTCCATTTCATATAAGAGTCTATCAATCTCTTTCTAGACAGATAATGTTCTTTATAATACAGTCAAGTTAATGTCATTAATTTGTTTTTTATATGTTTTGACTAAGTTTTAGCACATGTAAGCTTATTAAATGTAAACGTTTATTAAGAAACCGATTAACTCCCGTGGCCGTGAGACATGGTAGACAGCTCAGTTGGTTAGAGCATCGGCACGGATCGCTTAGGTCGTGGGTTCAAACCCCACCCGGCCATTGACCTCCCAGATCACCTGATTACGCACGTATTAAATATTAATACGTATTAAATCATTAGTTTATTTTAGTGAGACAACAAGTGCCGAGGACCTTAAAATATTAATTCTATGAGTGAACGATTTTAGAATAGTGAAAAATGACACTGAATTGCTTTTTAAAACGTAACCTCCACAGTAGGATTTTCTCTTGTATTGTGAGGGCAGTGTACATACATAAATTTCACAAGGACAAACATCCAGACCTGGAACAATTATTTGTAGGCCATACAAATATTGTTCCGTGCGGGGTTCGAACCCGCGGTCCTTAGCGCTGCAACCTTTTTATGTCGGCATAATTTACACAAAGCAATTTGGGATGAATGAATTATGTCGAAAAACTCATCAAATTTGCTTTTAGGTCTTTTAGATCTATAACTCCAACTCTCACGACTCCGACTAGAACTATTCGACTCTTCGTCACTCATGTCAAATTGTAAACTTATCACTCCGAGAACAACAAGGATTAGAGTAAAAACGATTAATACATTAGACTCGAAGCAAAGCTCAATTGGGAATGACTGGAATTAAAATAAATACTACTATTTGTAAGTACACGCCGAAAGACCGACAAAGGAAAGTTCGGCATTATTTGATAAAAATAACGATTCTTCAGAAGATTGGTAAAGTAGATGCGTTGCCAGATAGGTATAGTGCGCCTACGTAAAAATGAAATGTAAATATGTAAATAAAATTGTGTATATTATGTTCTTCTTGTGATTGAATTAATCTACGTTAATTACATTAAATTTGCCTACACTCGTTTGAAATTCAAAATTCAAATATGTTTTATTCAAGTAGGCATTAAAATACACTTTTGAATAGTCATATAATCACTGTTTTCCCCAATTTTTTCTTTTCCATGTCCAGGGGTTCTGATTCTACTGAGAAGAATCATGTAAGAAAGTAAGAAACTCAGTAGTTGCTCTTTTTAAAATATTTTTACAATAGTACTATAATTATGTAAAGCGATAAGTCAAACATAAAATGTCAAATGTATATGTAGGTACTAAATCGGTTTAGAAATTTCTAGTTAGTCCTGTGTAGTACGAGAGGTCAGTTCCAAGCATTTTTGTCTGACTTAAATTGAAAAGGTGAAAGATCTAACATTTCTTTTGGAATCTTATTATAAAAGCGTATATCGCTACCCAAGAACGCATTATATACTTTGTGTAACCGGAAAGCAGGTATTGTGATTTTATTTTTATTTCTACTATTAAAATTGTGCAAATCACTATTATTTACATCAATTCGATGCAATAAATTTCTTTAAACGGTTCTCTAAGAGATACTCGGGCTCCTAAAAAGTACATAGATCTTATTTTACGCTTTTTATTTCATATGCACACTTTTTATATTATTCGATTAGCATTGTACAAAATTTTTACACGTTTCAAGTGTGTTAAAAGTGTCTACAATATTTATCAAATGTGTGACGACATATTCGAACACTTTGTTTTCAAAAACACACACTTCCAAAAATCGAGATTTGCAGTGAACTTATTGAACATGTTTATCTATTAGGTAATAATAATAATAGTAAGTAATTATTATAAACCCATATAGTTAATATTATAATAATCACTTACTAGAATAAATTATTATGGTTTCTACCTATTCTTACCATTATCTAATTACAATATTCCTTGCGAGATCAGCATAATGTATTCGTGTCCATTCTGAGCACCCGGAAACTTATTTTATTCTTTGGAACATGTACTCTGTGGCGGCATTCAAACAGTGTCAAATGTAGTGCGTGTGGCGCGGCGGCGACGATTGAATGTGATATCAATAGAAGCCGCCGGCGCGTGTATCTTGACCTTGTACTTCCGAATAGCTGCAAAATTTCTTTGACAGGTCAGTATTCGACCTTTGATGATGCCGACAACAAGACGCCGCGCACTATCAAAGTGCCGATGGTCAAAACTAGGGATGCACTGTTTTTTTCTTTTAATGGATATTTTCATCCGCTATGTATGTTTATGGTATTGTTCGTAATGCGCATAAGTCCAATTTTCCAAATTTTTTTTATATATTTTTTGCGTCTCATAGACTCCCTAAGCGTATACCCGAACTCCTATACTCCCTGAAACGACACTCATTCCTAACTGCAAGACGCAAGAGTCTCGCAGGCTTAGTCTTGTTCTTGCTCAAATCTTGCACGGTCAGTCTTGGTATTGGTCTTGCCAAAATTAGGCGGTCTTGTTCTTGGTAGACCAAGACTGCAAGACCAAGACTCATTTTGGGCAACACTACTGGAGTGGTACTGCATGGATCATCAGCATATTCATTTTATGACGAACTATTTAAAAAAAAAACCTGCAATTCTATTAATATGGCGGATTCGAACTAACGAATTTTTACGTTTGCGGTTTGCTACTGTCGCTTTATGTGTATTGTTCTTATTTTATCTTTAACATTTAATATTTAAACAATAAACTTATCTCTTTTGTGGTTAGAATAATTAGTAAAATGTCTCTTCTAAGTATTTGATTTAACCGTAGGCTTCGACCACCTAATCCTAGGCCCATCCTACACGTGTTCCCCGGGTGGTGCTAAACGAGCAACAAAGCCAACAAAGCCGATAGGATAGACTCGGCTCCTCGCCGTATAGTAGCGGCGTAAAATCTATCACCCCTTAGTTCGCAGTATGAGCCAAGAAGAAAATGTAATGGCCCCGAGTTCCCGGCGCCCCTTTAATGGGGCAGGGGTGCGAAGAATCTCTGGGAGAAAAACCGGCGAAGAGGTTCGCCACCCGTTACGTCCTGTCTCCCGGAGGGGCGAAAAGTGGATTTCGGAGGCCCGTCTGGCTACACTGAATGTATGTGGAGCAATTAATGATAAGATGGATGAAGTTTGCGAAATGATGAATGATAGAGGAATAGATTTGTTATGTGTAAACGAGACGAAACGAAAGGGAAGAGATGTCACTGCACATGGCATATATAAGGAAAATGAAAATATTATTATGCTAGAAGATTTTAATGGAAGGGTTAGGTTAGGTTGGGTGAAGAAGTCTGGTTATGAAATAATATTAGGAACGTTTGGCGATGAAAGTATAAATGAGAATGGTGAAGACCTCCTCACCGTATGTGTGGAAAAGAATATTTTTGTGGCGAACACTTTATTTCGCCATAAGAGGATTCACATGTATATATGGGAAAGATGGGATGATAGAAGCATGATAGATTTCATAATTGTGGATGAAAGAATGAGGAGCGCAGTGGTAGATACAAGGGTTTACCGGGGGTCCAACGTAGGGACGGATCATTACTTGGTCTTTATGCCGAATAATTGGTCTATTCAGACGTTGGCGGCATCGGATATTGTCGGGCTGTTAAATTAGTTTTGAATTGCTATAATTTGCTTAAATTTCACTTGAGCTGCTTCACGAGGCTTCACCGCATATGTACACTTACGCAATGCACACTCTGCTACAGATTTTTTATGTTAGGTACACAGTCAAACAATGAGTTAAGTATACAGGCAGATAACTTGCAACTTGTTTTAAACAATCTTTTTGAAGTTATATTCTTTTGGCGCGTTTGAGAAAAATGATGAGAGTGAATTTTTTACAACTTCCAATGGTAATTGTCTGTCAATTGTTAAGTTTTCGTGAGAACTGATAACTATTCGAGGTAGTTATTCAAATATATATGAATGTATAAAACGTGTTTTATTTTTGTTATTTTTGTTTTGTTACGCTAAAGAAGTATAACTTCTTTTTTCATTTCATCTTTATAACTTCTTACGTGCGTACATAAGTACACACACACACGTTTTGTTTTATGTGAACAAAGTTTAAAAGTTATAACGCACACAATAAAAATGAATATTGACAGTCGTGTGAAAATGTATATTTTTGCTTGTATACCAAATATCTTTGTTTACTGTACAATAATATTGTACAGTAAACAAATGTATGGAGATGGGATGGAGATCCTTGATTCCATATTGTAATCCCATATTATAGTATCTTTAATATAAAATAATAATTATTACTTGAATAAAAATTAAATAAACTGTTTTTAAATCAATACTTATTAATTATTAATTGGTATATAGGAACGTTCTGTACATAACTGATCACAAATAGTAAGTTATATAAGCATGGTTGGTCCTGCCGGATATCATATTTACTTTATTTATTCAGATTTTAAATTAAAAATATTATTATTTTCGCGAGTACATTAATTTTGTTCATTTTAAATTCGAAAATCTGTCATAATCGTGTAACGGTGTATGAAATATGATATACAGGATTTAAACTATTATTATTATTATATATTCATTTCTGAACAAAATTAATTTATTAAAATAATTTACATAGATAAGAGTGTACGACACTAACTCACTGCTCTTTTGACAGTTTGACAGCAGATCTACCTCAAAACTTGGCGCTTAACATGGAGGTGCAGTCACACATGGATGAGTTGATGACGTCACACGAAAGTATTACTAAAATAAGCACTTTACAAACTGTAGATGTCTCTCTTTTCTATTGCAGCTACTGCTTTGTTAAAAAGAGACAAAACTGTTTTTGACAAGTGTGTGTCGATATTATAGATATTTGTGTAACTATTATTTCTATAGTGGAATATGCCCTCTCCGTTGGTATATATCTCTATGGTATCCATAGAACATTTGGTTACGCTTGGCATAGTAGGCATTGAGCGATACGCGCGATCTATACCTTGCTTATTTATACTCTAAGTTCTGAACAATCTTATCTATTCTTCTAAGAGACCCCTTCCAAATATTACTATAATCTTTGGGGGATTCTAAAACTTTGACAAGTAGATCGCCAAATGGATACTACGACGCTTGACAGATTAAGTATATAGAATAAGAAAATCATTTCAAAATTCGTTTATTTTTTTGTTTTTTCGGTATTTCATTTTAAAAGCATAATAAATTAAATAAATTAACGGCGGGTTGGCGATCGCAGCGTTTATTATTTTGAACTGTTGTCAGAAAGATTTCCCGTTTGTTTCCTCTGTCGCTTCTTACGACACACACGGGACGATATTAGGTGGCGGATTCTCTTTCGCCGCCAGAACAACGCGAAAATTTTTCTACTCCTATTCATGAGTGTAGTTGTTCCCGCGTTCCCGTCACTGCGAATAGAACTTAATTTGCATAAAATTAATCTTAAGGATTTTATGGCGTTAAATTTTAACTTTTTTCGTTCTTGACGTTTCGGGTACTTTGTAGAATTCATGGCCACGTAGGAAACGAAGTGTTGGACGCCCTTTTTTTTTTTTTTTTTTTTTTTTGCGGATGGAAAATCATCAAATGACGCCTTTCGCTCTGGGTGGAGCGGAAGGGAGTGTCAGACTTTTACTGACTAAAAACCATCCGTGTTCCTTCAGTGCCCTTACGTTCCGGAGCCGCGGTATCTCTTTCGAACAGCCCGCAGCCCCGGCAGGCGTCGGCCCTTGCGGGCCCCTTCACGGTGCTGACAGCTCTTTGAGGTGCGCGTGGAACAAAACGCGCCGTCGACACGGCCTGTCGTCGTTAGACGGACGGACGGCGAGCTACCCATTGCTCGCCGTCCACAGGCCCGCGCCTACGGTGGCCGGGGGCCACGACGTAGCCCCCGACGCCCAGGGCGTCTCCCGCGGCGGCCGGGAAGGAAAGCTGCTGCTCTCTCCTTCTCCCGCTCCGCCACCTCCTTCGCTAGCATCACTGCTTCGCAGAAGGTGGTGACGGCATCCCATTCCGTCTCGCTCCGGACCATGGCTTCGACCAGGGCCGGACGCGAGAGGTCGCCGCCGCCTATCGCCGCTACGAGGACACGGCGGTGCTCCGCCCAGGCAGGGCACACCTCCACGGTGTGCTCCACCGTGTCCTCCGGTCGATCCTCGCAGTGGGAGCACCCGGGCGTTTCCTCCCGCCCGATTCGGTGCAGGAACCTCCCGAACACGCCGTGTCCGGTGAGGACCTGCGTCAGGCGGAAGGTGAGGACGCCGTGGCGTCTCTCAAGCCACTCCTCAAAGAGGGGTCTTATCGCCGCTATAGTGGCGTGCCCAGCACGGGGTTGCGACAGTCGCTCTCTCCATGTCGCCATGAGATCATGCCGGAAGTCTGTCCGCTGCACGACAACTTGCCGTGGCAGCGGGGTTTCCCCCCGGCATAGTGCCTCCGCGCGCCATTCGTGTAGGCGCGCGAGGACTATCGCCTCCAGATCCCATGGTGGCAATCCGGCAAGGAGGCACGCTGCCTCGCGGGAGATCGTGCGGTAGCCGCGAACCATTCTTACGGCGACCACCTTTTTGGGCGCGTTCAGGTGGTGGACGGCAAGCCGCGCCAAACCACGCGCCCACACCGGGGCCCCGTAAAGGACCATGGACCGCACAATCCCCGCGTAGAGCCTCCGGCAGGAGGCGTTTGGCCCCCCCAGGTTCGGCAGGAGCCGCCTGAAGGCAGCCCCGGTCCGTTCCAGTTTGGGAGCCAAACGTCGGAAGTGCTCAACGAAGTTCCATCGGCCGTCGAGGACGAGTCCTAGGTACTTCAACGTCGACTCGACGCCGATGGATACCCCTCCTACCATCGCTGAGGATCCCGGTGGTGGCCTGTTCCGAGGACCATGGAAGTGCATGGCCTCGGACTTGTGCAGAGCCACCTCAAGACCCAGCTACCGGATCCTCTCAACGACTATCGCAACCCCGCGTGTCATATTTTCCGCCGCCGCCTCGTACGACCCCCCCTGTGCCAGTACCAGCGTGTCGTCAGCGTAGCAAACTACGCTGACGCCGGTAGGGAGGTCGGCGCGCAGCACCCAGTCGTAACCGATGTTCCACAGGGGCGGCCCCAGAACCGAACCCTGTGGGACACCGCACGACATCTCTCGCCGGTTCCACTCACCGTTGCGACCGGGGTAGATGATGGCCCTATCCGTCAGATAGTCCCCGACTATACGACGGAGATAGGTCGGCACCCGGTGATACCGGAGTGCCTCCCTAATGCAGCTCCAGGGCATGGAGTTGAAGGCGTTGGCGATGTCGAGAGACACCGCCAAAACAACCCCCCCCCTGGCCACTGCATCCCCCGTCGTGAGGGCTCTTACGCGCATGATGGCGTCCACCGTAGAGCGCCTCTTGCGGAAACCAAACTGGTGTTCCGCAAGATCCGGCCCCGTCCCCGCAAGGTGCTCGGCGAGGCGGTTTGCAATGACTATTTCAAAGAGCTTGCCCACCTCGTCGAGCAGCACCACGGGCCGGTATGCGGACGGAGAGTCCGCAGGGCGCCCCGGCTTCCGAATGAGGACCAGCTTCCCCGTCTTCCAACGAAGCGGGAATTGGCCTCTCTCCAAGCATGCGCTTAGGAGCCCCTCCAGTCGGGGCCCGAGAGCCTCCGAGGCTAGGACCCAGGCTTTGCCAGGCAAGCCATCGGGTCCTGGGGCGGTATTCCTGGCCTTGAGCCTACGTACCGCCACTCTCAGGTCTACCCCGGTCCCTTCCGGGATGTCGTCGTCGTCGTCCTGGTGGTCCGCTTCCGGCACCGCAGGTGGCGGAGCCATAGGCGGGGGTGGATGTTCCCCTCGCGCAGGAAACAGAGCGCTCACCACGTCCTCCACGAGCTGAGGCCGGAGACTCTGCGTCAGCGGGGGGGCCCAGGTGCGGAGTTTATCCCGCACCATCTTGTAAGGGCGCCCCCACGGATCTCTGTCGAGAGTCTCCAGCATCTCCTCACGGGCCCGATCCCGGGCCCGCATGACAGCCTCCCGGAGGGCGGTCTTCGCCGCTCTGTATCCCTCGTACAGCTCCACCTCAATGGCTGCCGCATTCGGTGGACGAATGCGGAGCCTGCGATGCCTGGCGTACAGGTGCCGCGCGGCGACACACGCCTCGCGCAGAGACGTCAGCTCACGCGACCACCAATACACCTGGCGCCGGGCGCTTCCTGGCCGGACGCGGGGCATTGCCACGTCACATATCTCGGACATGGCCTCCTGGAACCACCCTGCCTCATCATTGATGTCGGCAGGCCTATCCGGTGATGACACCCAGGCCTGCACGATCGAGGCTTCCAGGAGGAGCTCCCGGTCCAGCTGCTTCAGCGCCCAACGCAGACCACTCGGGGCCTGTTGGACTGGCGCGCTCGAGGGTGGGTGGAGACGTCAAACCGGATGTACCGGTGGTCGGAGTAGGTCTCCACCCCCTCCATGACTTGCCAGTCAGTGGCACGCGGCGACAGAGCGGGGCTAGCGAACGAAATGTCCACCACCGACTCGCCCCGCATCCGCACACACGTGGGGACAGAACCCCGATTTAGGACGACCAGGCCTGTCTCCAGAGCCCAGTCTTCCACCATCCTACCCCGCACATCTGTACGACGAGAACCCCAAGTCAAGTTCTTGGCATTGAAGTCCCCGAGGACAAGCACGGGGAGGGGATTGCTTCCGACGACAACTGCTCTCAGCTCTGCAAGAGAGTTGTGGAGCTCGGCGAGAGATCGGTTCGGGGAGAAGTACACCCCCACAACGACGAACTCCCCGAACCGTGCTGCTACGCACCCCTGACCCCTCCTGACACCTTCAAGGGTCGGGGTACCGGCGGCGGCCGAAGAAATAATGGCCACTGAGCCGTTAAGGTCCGCCACCCAGTCCTTCCTAGGCCAGACAGAATACGGCTCAGCGACCACAGCGATGTTAATCGACCACTGCGCCATGCTCTGGAGCAACAGATCCTGAGCGCAGGCGCAGTGGTTGATATTCGCCTGGAGGAAGCTTAATGGGGCCGTTATAGGCATTCCATTTCAGCTTCCTCCACGGGGCGCCCCTCTGCAGGCGTCGGTGTCGCGGCGGCGGCGGCGGCGGCGGCGGCGACAGTGACAGCGGCGGCGGCGGCAGTTGCAGCTGCGGCGGTGACCATAGAGGCGGTGGCGGCGGAGGAGGGCCCTCCCCTACCCGCGGCCTTGGCCTTGGCGGGTGACACGCAGGCCCTGCTCCCGGCCCAGTGATCGGCTGGCTTGCCGGTCGCCGCACATGCATCACAGTGCGGCGTGGCACAGCAGGTCGCCGATATATGACCGGGCTGACAGCAGCGGAAGCAGAGGCCACTGCGGTCAACCTCCGAGGCGCATTTCGCTGATACGTGATGCCCCACGAGACAGCGGTAGCACCTCAGAGGTCTGGGCTCCAGCAGCTTAACCTGCGCTGAGACCCAGCCCACCAGAAGCCTTCGGCCCTCCACTATGGTTTTGGCCGCCGTAACAGGGCAGCACACCGTGGCGGCATGCATACCCTGTTGATCCGGGCGTATGGCGCCTGCCCTGACCTGATCAGTAGTGCACCCCCCGGACCTGGCGACGGCGGCCACCAACTCCTCCTCCGATACCGAGTCGTCCAGACCCATGATGCGCAGGTCTGCGCATCTGACGGGCCTGGACACTCGGGCCTCGTCCGCGTTCAGGGACGCTCTGAGCTTCGCAGCCAGAGCGTCCGCAGTCGCGCCACTGGATTCCCCGGGGATCTCCAGCATACGGGCCCCCGTCTGGGTGACTTTGAGCCGGAGGCCCCCAGTGATCCCGAGCTCCCCGAGATCCACCGCCTCTTTCGCCTTCGCGAGCAGATCGCGGTAGGTAACGCCCTTCTTTTCCGCGTCCGGCTGTAGTGTAATCACTACAGCTGCGGTCTTCGGGGCGCGGAGCCTAGCCGCGATCTTGCGCGCCCTGAACTGACGCTGCCGCTCCTGCTCTTTGGCCTTTTTGGCTGCCTTCTTCCCCTTCTGTTTCTCCCCGACCACCTGCCAACCGGCTTCTGCCGCGGGAGGTGTAGGGAGCTGGGGGGGCGGTGGCGGCGGCGGCAGCTGGCTTGCCGCTGGCGCTGGCCCATTCGCCGCAGGCACTGGGGCTGGCGCAGCCATCACCTGTGCTGCCGCCTTGCCCTTTTTCACCTTCGCCTTGCCTCTCTTTCCCGTCGCCGGCTTAGCCGGAGCCGGTTCAGCCGGTATTGGTTTTGCCGGAGCCGGCTTTTCAGGGGGAGGAGGGGCAACTGCAGCCCCACCCGAGGGCTGGCTGGACGGCCCCGGCCTGGATGTGGCAGCCGTGGCCGTCGCGTAGGAAACCGTTGCCGGCCTCGCCGCCGTCTTGTTTGCCCCTAGGGGGGGGCGCAGGACGATGCCCTCCAGCACGGAGAACCGGTGCTGGAAGGCAGCCAGCTCCTGCCGGACCAGGTTCAGAACCTGGTTCTCCACCGGCACGGGCTGGCTTGGGCGC